GGGCCCGATCGCCCCGGTCTGTTGCGCACCGCGCTCGTCCCGCACCGTCCGGCCCTGACTCTGACCCAGCTCGGAGTCCGCGGCCACCCCGGCCACCCCTCGCGGCGGCGCCCGGGCCTGGGGGCGATCTGGGACCTCCCCGCCCCCCCGGCACCCCCACGCCTCGGCTTCTGCTTTCCAGAAATGGGCACAGTAACAGTGCCTCGAGTGGGTGTTGGGGGGTCCATGGAGAAAAGGCCAGCGCGTGTCTCCGGGCCGGGCGCGTGGGAAGCCCAGCCGGTGCGAGGTGGCTCTTTAGGGCTGGAGGGGCCGTTTCCACCGCAGAATGCCCCGGGATGGCCCCACCCTGCGCAGTCAGACTGAGCCCTGGCCCACGAATGACAGGAACTAAGCCGGGGGTGGGGGTGGGGGGGTCATAGCATGCGACCAGAGCCAAGGACCAGACTTTGGACGCCCAGGTGAGCGTCCGAAGTCGTACTTGGGATTCGTACCTAAGACGCCTCTGACTAGGAGCGCGGGGACCTTTAATCGGCCTAGACGGTGCTTTTAGAAGTTGCCAAAATTTAAAAATCGACAGGTTTCATGTTTTTAAAAAATGTTTAGAGTTCCTCCTGAAAAATCAGAAGATCTGACCACGCAGAGTTTTTTTTCCGTTATAGCATTTTGCACCACGTTCCTTATTTATGTTTTTTCTCTGCCATGCTAAAACCCTCCTCCCTGGGCAGAAGCCAGAGTGTGTACCCACCCTCATTTTCTCTGGGATAGGAGCTTTGACAAGACCATGAACTGCTTCTTTGGCCAAGTCTCTATGGAAAATGAGAAGTCCCCCCAGTCTCTCTCCATATGGGAGGAGAATATTCCCTCCCTCCCCCACCTGTGAGCAGCTAAAGCCCATCTGAGTGACAGTGGCCAGCCCACCCCTATCCACCTGGGTGATCCCCTTAGAGATCTGGATAACCAGGACCCCCCCAGGCAAGATTCAGGGTGGTGGCACTGTAAATTTTCCAAAACCCTTGTGCAATTCAGCTGCAGAGGGAGGGGGTGTTCCCCCAGGGCAGGTAACTACAACTAGAGGAGAGTGTTTTTGCTCTGACGATAGAAGTGTGGGTGATGGTGCATTGAGCACTTCCCCACCAGCCCTGTGCTAAATGCTTGTCATCAGGCTTCTGAGGCTGGGACAGTTGTCACTTCCTTTTTACAGCTTCCCAGCTAGTCACTGCAGGCCAGGCTGCAAACCCAGATAGTCTTGTTGTGGCACCCTTAACCTACTTTTTTGGCTTCTGGGCATTTCGCAGTGGGCACTGGCCTGACGCCCACTCCGGAACTGGGGGTGGAGCTCCTCATTGGGGTGTTTTATCACATCTCACTTCCAGGCCAAAGTGAGCCATTGGGGAGGAAGTTGGTTTCTCAGCACTAGCCCCCCCACTTAAAGAAGTTGTGACATGGTCTAGGGATATAATAAAAATTTTATATTTTAAGAGTGAATTCACAGCCTTAAAATAACATCACTGCAAACCCTAGCACAGCTCGCAGACAACAGCGTGGTCTTGGCAAAATCTTACAGTTCACCAGGCCCACCAACTTAAAATTAAGCAATTATTTTTTTAATTGGGGGAGGGGCCTCTTTAAAAAATTAGTCCCTAGGGGCCGACCAGGTGGCGCAGGTGGTTAAGTGCATGCGCCCCGCTGCAGGGCCCGGGGTTCGCCTGTTCCGATCCCTGGCGCGCACCGTGGGAGGCGTGTCAAGCCATGTTGTGGAGGCATCCCATATAAAGTGGAGGAAGATGGGCATGGATGTTAGCCCAGGGCCAGTCTTCCTCAGCAAAAAGAGGAGGATTGGCAGATGTTAGCTCAGGGCCAAGCCTCCTCACAAAAAAAAAAAAAAAAATTAGTCTCTAAAGACTTTATTAATATTTTATTGTGAAATTTTTGTTGTACATTATTCTCAGTCACCATATAAATGCATCCCTTCACCCCTTGAGCCCACTCCCCCACCCACCCACCTTGCCCCTGGTAACCACCAAACAGTTCTATCTGTCTGTGTGTTGGTTTATCTTCCACATATGAGTGAAATCATGCAGTGTTTGTCTTTCTCTTTCTGGCTTATTTCACTTAACATAATACCCTCCAGGTCCATCCATGTTGTTGCAGATGGGACGATTTTGTCTTTTTTTATGGCTGAGTAGTGTCCCCTTCTATATATATACCACCTCTTCCGTATCCAGTCATCCATGGAGGGACACTTGGGTTGCTTCCATGTCTTGACTATAGTGAATAGTGCTGCAATGAACATAGGGGTGCATAAGCCTCTTTGGATCGTTGATTTCAGGTTCATTGGGTAGATACCCAGTAGTGGGATAGCTGGATCATATGGTATTTCTATTTTTAATTTTTTGAGGAATCTCCATACTGTTTTCCATAGAGGCTGCACCAGTTTGCATTCCCACCAGCAGTGGATTAGGGTTCCCATTTCTCCACAGCCTCTCCAGCATTTGTTGCTTTTTGTCTTGGTGATTGTAGCCATTCTAACAGGTGTAAGATATCTTAGTGTAGTTTTGATTTGCATTTCCCTGATGGTTAGTGATGCTGAACATCTTTTCATGTGCTTATTGGCCATCTGTATATCTTCTTTGGAGAAGTGTCTGTTCATTTCCTCTGCCCGTTTTTTGATCGGTTTGTTTGTTTTCTTGTTATTCAGTTGCGTGAGTTCTTTACATATTATGGAGATTAATTCCTTGTCGGATATATGGTTTGCAAATATTTTTTCTGAGCTGGTGGGCTGCCTGTTCATTTTGATCCTGGTTTCATTTGCCTTGTAGAAGCTCTTTGATGAAATCCCACTTGTTTATTTTTTCTTTTGTTTCCCTTGTCTGAGTAGACATGGAATTCGAAAAGATCCCTTTATGACCAATGATGAATAGTGTACGACCTATATTTCCTCCAGGAGTTTTATAGTTTCAGGTCTCACCTTCAGGTCCTTGATCCATTTTGAGTTAATTTTTGTGTATGGCGAAAGAAGATGATCTACTTTCATTCTTTTGCTTGTGGCTGTCCAGTTTTCCCAGCACCATTTATTGAAGAGACTTGCTTTCTCCATTGTATGTTCTTAGCTCCTTTGTCAAAGATTAGCTGCCCATAGATGTGAGGTTTTATTTCTGGGCTTTCAGTTCTGTTCCATTGATCTGTGTATCTGTTTTTGTACCAGTACCATGCTGTTTTAATTACTATCACTTTGTAGTATGTTTTGCAGTCAGGCATTGTGATGCCTTCAGCTTTGGTTTTTTTCCCTCAGGATTGCTTTAGCTATTTGGGGTCTTTTGTTGCCCCGTATGAATTTTAGTATTCTTTGTTCTATTTCCGTGAAGAATGTCCTTGGGATTCTGATTGGGATTGCATTGAATCTGTAGATTGCTTTAGGTAGTATGGACATTTTAACTATGTTTATTCTTCCAATCCAAATGCATGGAATATTTTTCCATTTCTTTATGTCATCATTGATTTCACTCAATAATGTCTTATAATTTTCATTGTGTAGGTCTGCTAAAGACTTTATTAATATTTTTATTGCACTTTTTCAAATGTGCATAACATGCGACCACTCCATATTTCAAGGGCCTGCTCTATCCTGGAAGGATGCTCATGTGCTCCTGTCTAACCCCTCTTGTTTCACCAAAGAAGGAACAGGATTAGGGGAGTCGCTGGCCCAAGTCCCTGGGTATCTCAGGGGTCCATCTCCTTGGTCAGGGCTTATAACCACTGTTGCCCCCCTCAGGCCTGTGTGTGCACCCCACCCCAGCCATGGCCCAGGTCAGCATCAACGAGCTACCTGAGAACATCCTGCTGGAGGTATTCACACACGTGCCCGCCCGCCAGCTGCTGCTGAACTGCCGCCCCGTCTGCAGCCTCTGGCGTGACCTCATCGACGTCGTGACGCTCTGGAAGCGCAAGAGCCTGCTGAAGGGCTTCATCACCGAGGACTGGGACCAGCCCGTGGCAGACTGGAAGATCTTCTTCTTTCTCTGCAGTCTCCGCAGGAACCTCCTGCGCAACCCATGTGCTGAAGGTGGGCTGGAGTCTGCCACTGGGCTGGTTCCCTCTTTCCTGAACCTCAGGGCCTTTGCACTTGCTGTCCCCACACTACCTGGAATGTTCTCTCACACCCCTAACACCCACCACTCTCTTGGTTCTTCCTCATTCTTCGGATCTCAGTTCAGAGGCCTGCCCTGGTCCCCCATCTAAAAAACAGTGCTCCCTACCTCTATCATATCACCCCCATTTAGTTCCTTTGTAGCACTTTTTATAACCTATAATTACCTTGTCTCTTTACTTTTTTCTCTGCTATAAACTTCAAGTTCCAGGGGCCTAATGGATCTTGTTTGCCACCCTACACCCAGTGTCCACACAGCAGGTGCTCGGGAAAGGTTTGTTGAATGAACACACGGCAGACCCACCTTCCCCCTTGAGTTCAGTCCAAGCTGCCTCATGTTCATGGAGGGCTTCCTCTGGCCAGACACCAGTCTGAGGTCTTTACACATGTAATTATCCCCCATTTTACAGATGAAGAAAATGAGGATTTTGAGAGGTGACTGTGATCATATAATTGGAGGCCCCTGTTTGGCTTATGTTGAGCGGTTTTTTCTTTGTTCGGTGCCTACACGTACCAGGCACTGTGCTTCTTTTTGAGGCACAGAGTGATTACGAGATGTAGTTCGTGCACTTCAAATCCCTTTCCTGTCTGTTTTCTCTTGAGGATCCCAGGAGTTGGCCAGATAAGAAGAGTTGGCTCCATTTTATAAATGGAGAGCGTCAGGCCCCCAGATGAGTGACTTGCCCAACGATCCAGAACTGCCCAGCTTCTGGGGCCTGGTCCTGACTGCTGAAGGCCCTCAGGCCCCTCTCGGAGGCCCCACAGACAGCGCCCCAGACACTCAATCTCTCCGCCTGCCCCAGATTCCACTCAGAAGCTGCCCAGCTGGGCCGCCAGCCCGGCTCATACAGCCTCACGGAGCCAACCTGCAGCCTTGCCTTGCCCTGGGCCCTGGCCCCGCAGCTCAGCCTCAGCCCTGCTCGAACCTCCCCTCAGGCCTGTGCTCAGCACCAGCCCAGCTTTTGAATTTCTGTATTGCTGCCCTGATTCTTTAATGAGGGGCCCCCAGGGCACCTGGGGAATAGATGTGGGCTCCTAGTAGAGGGAGCAAGGGAGTAATTTGGAAAAGCTCCCACAGTGATTGTTCTGGAAAGCCTTGGTACAGAAGCACTATTGTTGTCTGAGGTCCTCGCAGCTCAGTCTGAAGGGGGAGACTGGGAAGGACAGCCTTGTGCCTCCGAACCTGCTGAGCCAACCTGGTGGGGTTCCTTCCATGAATACAGCGTTACCAACCCAGAGGATCCCATCCCCCCAGTAATCCTGCCCGCCCTGGGCAGAGGGATCTGAGTCGGTACAGTAGGTTCCCACGGCCCACCAACAAACCCGTAAACCGGTCCTCAGGCCCCCTCAGATCTGTTACGTAGTTAACCTCCCGGCCATCGAAGTCAGGGGCATTGTCAGTTACATCCTAATTTAATGTTTTGAGAAGTGAAACTCGGGTATTTCCCAGAGCCCCTCGGCTACATGAAAGTGAGGAAAGGTTGGTTTAGAATTTCTGGTAATACTCTTTTTTCCAGCTTCATGTTAGGAGTCAAGCCAGTCAGGGAGAAAGTGGGAGGGAGAGGGTCCCAGATCAGCGCTGAGACAGTGGGAACAGGTGGGAACGTGTTGGAGGGGAGCTCTGTAGGGACGCTCCAAGGCACGGTTGGGGTGCATGCCTTGAGATCTGAGCAGGAGCAAGCCTGGCCTTACACGCTCCCTCCCGGGCCCAGGTAGGGAGGACCCACTGTACACTTACACAGGGGATCTCACCGCGGCTTGTTTTTCCTAGAGGATATGACATCATGGCACATCGACTCCAATGAGGGGGACAAGTGGAAGGTGGAGAGCCTCCCTGGAGCACACGGGACAGATTTTCCTGACTCCACAGTCAAGAAGTACTTTGTCACATCCTATGGGTAAGACCAGCAGAACGGAGCAGGCTGTGCTGAGAGAAGAGGTTCAGGACACCTTGTGCGGGATTCCAGGCCTCAGTGAGGGCCTCCCTGTGAAGCTCGGGGGAGGTGGTTCCAAAACCCATTCAGAGTCTGCTGCTTCCTGGAGCGGGAGTGAACTCAGTGGCAGTGGGGGATGGAGATCAATTTAAGGAGACCCAGAACCCACTGGGTGATTAGGGTAAGTCAGAGGTGTCTACAGGCTGTCCCTAATCCAGGAATGCGAGTTCTCAGAGGTGCCCTCCTTGGGGCCCTGGGAAACTGGGCCTGTGGTCTGGGTCAGATGCCACCCAAGGTCAAATTCCCTGCATGTTTCTCATGGGCCTGCACCAGGGTAAGAGCCAGAGTCAGCATCAGCCAGTGGCTGTCCTGCAACAGTCAGGGGACATTGTTGTCCCCTGAACCACCTCCCTGGCGGTGCACGCCCGGGAAAGCAAGCCTGTCCTCTGCTCCCCAGCATGTGCCTCAAGTCCCAGCTTGTGGACCTCAAAGCCGAGGGCTACTGGGAGGAGCTGCTGGACACGTTCCGGCCCGACATTGTGGTTAAGGACTGGTGAGTGGGGCCCAGGGCCTGAGTGCCACACTCTGCATCCTTCCCTCTTCTCTTCCTAAGAACACCTGTGGGGAGTGTCCACTCTGTGCCCAGCAGTGTCCTGGGGCAAGGGCTGCCCCAAGAGCCAGGCTGACCCTGCCCCACCCCACTGCTGACAGAGCCAGCACTTGCTCATCCAACAGCGCCTCCTGCCCCCACCCCCTGCCTGTGTCAGCAGGAGACCTTAGCCCCAGTTTGCAGATGGGGAGCCTGAGGCCTACAGATGAGTCGTCACAAACAGGCACCGGAGTGGCAGACACCAGGACCCGGCCTCCCTGGACCCTGCAGACACTCACATGTCTTCTCGCCTAGCTGCCTCCCCTGCCCCTTTTCAAGATTTGTCCCACAACTCTTCCAAGCTCCTACTCTGTGCACAGAGCAGTGCAAGGCTCTGGCCTGGCCCCAGGCCGAAGCAGGACCGCAGTTCCAGCCAGGCCACCACTCCGAGGGTGGAGGGGTGGGGCTTGATGGGTGTGCAGAGCTGCAGCAGGGGGACAACAGAGCTGAGCAAAGGGTGAGCTCTGTGTCAGCCCCCATCACACAGGCCACCCCTTGAATTTCCCATTGAATCCACAGCCCTGTCTATTATAATGTACAGGTGACATAGCTTGGACAGCCCGGGCCTTTATCTCTGTACAGAGCCTTTTGCTCTTTAAGGTGACTCTTCACTGATACACCCAAAAGGGTTGTCCCTTTTCTCAATGGGGTAACTGAGGCCCAGCACGAATAGACTGCCTACCCCTGGGGCACCATGGGGCACAGGGACCATTGAAGCCAGTTGGGCCTCCTGGGCAGAGCAGGGAAATGAAACTCTGACCTCCAATTCGTGGGCCTGCTGCCTGCCTGCCTCCAGGGCCCCCCTCAGTCTGTGGGGGCACAGTCCTGAGCCCCACCCTCCTCCAGGTTCGCTGCCAGAGCAGACTGTGGCTGTACCTACCACATCCGAGTACAGCTGGCCTCGGCCGACTACATCATCTTGGCCTCCTTCGAGCCCCCGCCTGTGACCATTGAGCAGTGGAACGATGCCAGGTGGACAGAGGTGAGGCTTCCCTGCTTGCCCTCGCCACTCACTTCTCCCAGGGCCAGGGTGGCAGGAAGCACAGGGCAGCCTCAGGGCCCAGAATGCCCCCAGCTCTCCGCCTGGAGCTCCTGCCTTCCAGCCTGGGCGGCTCTCCCCTACAGGACCTGGCTCCTCCCTCCCCCTCTCCAGGTGAGGGGTCACCCCATCTCGTCCCCTCCCCATTCCCAGTGGTCACTTCCTCTCCCCACTCCCCAGGTCTCCCACACCTTCTCGGATTACCCTCCAGGCGTCCGCCACATCCTTTTCCAGCACGGAGGCCAGGACACCCAGTACTGGGCAGGCTGGTACGGGCCCCGCGTCACCAACAGCAGCATCATCGTTAGCCATAAGATGACTCGGAACCAGGCCCCCTCCAGAGGTCAGCCGGAGACCACGCAGGGGCAGGAGGAAGCTGCCCACTTGCCCTCCCCACTTGATCTCCACAGGCCCTTCTGACAGTCCATCATCTGACAGCCATTCATCCGTCCTCTGTCTGGGCCAGCCGAATGCCGAAGGTTCCCTCCAGGCAAGAGCTGAGCATGTAGTGGGCAGCGAGGGCCCCTGCCCTGGGAGCTCTTGCCCTAGTTCCAACCTTGGGCAGACCCACCAGCGTCTGGTAACGTACTGTCACATAGCTCTGACATTTTGTCATAACAAACGTTTACAGTAAAACCAGGCTGGGGTGGGTCTAGGGGTGGGGGGTATAGGGGTCCTTGGCACTTTGGCAGAGAAGCAGCCCTCCCACTCTGGTTACTGACAGCCCAGCTCAGCCCTTGGGGCCCTTTTATTGAAACAGCTCACAGCACAGTATTGGAGACAGACAGTGTTGGCCGGCCGAATCCAGGAGGCTGAGACATCGTGGTCCCAGCACCCTTCCCTGCCCTCCTCTGGAGAAGCCCTCAGTGAAGGCAACCAGACCTGAGCAGCCCCAGGCTGGAGGAGGGCGGTCCACACACAGAGGCAATAAGAGCGCTTGGCATCAGTGGCCCTGCAGCGCCGCCCCAGGCTGGGGCCCCCGAGTCCTTCAGTCGCGGCATCCGTGGACAGCAGGCGCGCCCTCAGCTGCCTTTATGAGCTCGCTCCTCCACGTAGAGCTGCATCTGATGGATAGGAACAAACAGCCACCGTCAGACGGACAGCTTGGGCACCTACTCTGGAGGGCCCTCGAGCCCCTGGCAGGCACATCTCCACCAAGGGTGGGGCTCTGAGGCCACACCCAGGGGCTAAGGGAACGGGGAGAAACGGGAGGAGGCTTACAGCAGGCATCCCCTGGTCCTCTGCCCCAAGCCTTGATACACAAGCCCTCGGGCAAGGCCTCAAACCCTAAATAAAGCTTAACCTGGGCCCCATGCCGCTCACCTTTAAAATGTCTGATGTCATGGTTTTTAGGGGTATCAACCGGGGGTCATGCATGTGGACGTCCTGCTCATCTGCCAGGATCCAGGGGAAGTCCTAAGGAGGGGACCAAGGTAAGGGGTTGGACCCTGGCCTGTGCTCACTTAGCTCCCCCTTCCTCCTTCAGAGCTGGGGTCCTCAGATTTCAGGAAGCATCAGAATCACTAGGGAAGTGAAGATTCCCAGGCTTCTCTACCAGTGAGGCCGAGTCCGTAGGTCTGAGCTGGGCTGGGAACCCAAGTGATTTAACAAGCTCCAAGCACCGATTCTGAAACCGGTGGGCAAGGACCCCTTCTCTTGAGAACCCCCACTGAGCCGGCGGCCCCAGCATGTGGCTCCCCACTCCTCTCAGTGCTGAGTGCCCAGGTTGGGCAATGATGAGCATGCGGCCACAGTGAACACACGAGAACCTGCTGGGGGCCAGGCACTGCCATAAGTGGTGTAGTGAGTGCACTGGCCCTGGGCAAGCCCTGCTCGCTCAGTACTGTGGCATCGGGTTTCAGAGCCTCCCAGCTGTCTCCCTGGCCACCCTCCCAGACCGGTCTCATCTCACCTTGATGACCTGGATCTTCTCCATGTTGCGAGTGGCAGCTTCTCTTGTGTGCACTAAGACTGTGAAGGTACAGCCTGAAGAGGCAAGAGTCTGGTCAAGGCTGGGCCACCCCACACCTGCCACTGGGCACAGCCTCTTCCCACCTCCCTCACTGGCTCAGCAGCCCCACGGAGCCGAGTGTAAACCAAGCCAGAGTCAACAGGGAGACTGAGGCCAGGTAGAGTCAATCAGGGAAGCCTCCTGGAGGAAGTGGACTTTCAGAGGGGTTCTAAAAGGCAGGAAGGAAGGGAGGAGGCCTGGGGCCGCCAAATAGGAACCTGAGAACACCAACTAACCCAAGGTAGCTATGGGAACGCCCAGGGAAGAGGGGGTGGGGGTGAGCACACCTGGGGGGTTGTGGTCTAGGACAGCATCACACACACTGATCTTCAGGATGAAGGCTCGGAGCAGCTGCTCCACATGAGACAACAGGGAGTCTGAGCTGGGAAGGAGAGAGGAGGGGGGTCTCCCATCACACCGGTCCCCCCCCACCCCGCCACCAGCAGGCAAGCAACCCTGGAAACAGACCTGGGGGTCGGAGCCCCTCCAGTGCTTCTGAGAGTGTTGGCTTCTAGGGGCCTCGCTACCTGTCTTGTCTACACAGTTAAAATCATCTGTGGAGTTTAAAGCCAATGCCAAGCTCCATCCCAGACTGTCATAAAGGGGGAGGGGACATAGGGAGCCCCCGTAGGTGGTTCTAATGTGCAGCCTGGTCTGAGAACGAGAGCCCAAGCCTCTTCATACCCCAGGACTCCAAGCCAGGAAGGGAAAGGGCTTGCCTGAGGCCACACAGCAGGTAGGGACAGATTCTAGTGCCGGCTTCACCACAGGAGGCCGGCAGCTGACGAGCCAACACACCTGCCCAATGTCAACTTCTAGTTGACTAAGGACTGGCTGCTTGACTGGGAAGTCCGGAAACTGGGTCTGTGTCCTGGCTCTGCCACCATCTGGATGACTCTAGGTAGCTCATGTCATCCCTCTAGACTTTGTTTCTCCATCTATAAAATGAGGTTGGGACTAGCCATTCACCAATGCTGATTCTCCAGGCGAGAAACAGGAGGGTCTCCGTGTAACCTGTGTGCTGTCCACAGTCAGCTGTTACTCAGCCACTAGGAGGCCTTGTGAGGTTGCACGCCTTGCCATTTCTCCTCTCAGACCTTTACCAAGGTACTCAGGGGCTGCCTGAAAGGGGAGGGATGGGAGGTATTCTAGGGACCTCACACCCGCTAGCAGGTGGACGGAGGAGAGGTGGCTCACCTGATGGACAGCAGCGGAGGCTGGGTGATTTCAAAGACGAATTTCTCCACTGGGCGGTGCTCCTTGTCCAAAATTACCACCACCACTTTCTCCACATCATTCTGCAGGACCAAAAGCCCCTACTCCAGAACCGGGTGCCCCACCCTGCCGCCACCCACTCCCTGCCAAGGAAGGGCAGGAAAGGGTGCACTCAGCCCTGCTCAGCTTCTAGGCCGAGCTCCCTGAGAGCCCAGGAAGCAGGTTTGAGAAGTTCAAGTCGGCACCCTCATACATGAGTAGTACAGGCTGAGAGGAGAGGGCGCATGGGCCCTGTGGGGGGTCTCAGGGAGCAGGACAAGATAGGAGCAGGACACCAGGGGAAGAGAGAAACAGATCTGAGAAGAACCCAGAACCCTCCAGGACAGGCCCCACTCAGAGAGCCAATCCCACTAACCAGGGCTCTGGGGCCCAGCACACCCTGAACACAAGGCCCACATGCCCTGGGGCCTGTCCCTGGGGGGTGGGGGTGGGGTGGCTGTCCAGGGAACAGGCTTCTGGGTGTTAGAGTTATGGGGATCTCGAATGGTCTCAACATCACCCCATCCCGGAGTTGGAAGAGCAGACGGGGTGAGGTGCACAGGGGGCCTGCTGCCCTCACCTTCTCCAGGAGTGGCTTGACGCAGTGCAGCGTGTCCTGGATGTACTGGTTCAGCTCCGGGTGGCAGGACATCTGCAGACAACCCACGATGGCTGGTGAGGCCCGCGCACCGACAGGGACACCGCCTGACACCCCCTCCCAGAGCCCAAGGCCCCATCTGCCTTTGCAAAGAGGCCCAGCTGTTCCCTAGGGCTGCCTACCCAAGAGACTGACTTCCCCTCATGGGGCTCAGAACTCTGGATTCTCTACAGAGAAGGAGAAGTCAGAAGATTAAGAATTCAATCTCAGAGGGGCCGACCCAGTGGCACAGTAGTTAAGTGTGCGCACTCCGCTTCGGCAGCCCAGGGTTCGCAGGTTCAGATCCTGGGCACAGACTGATGCACCACTCATCAAGCCACGCTGTGGTGGCGTCCCATATACAAAATAGAGGAAGATGGGCACAGATGTTAGCTCAGAGCCAATCTTCCTCAGCAAAAAGAGGAGGATTGGCAGTGGATGTTAGCTCAGAGTCAGTCTTCCTCAAAAAAAAAGAATTCAATCTCAGTATTTAATAGAGCTTTAGGGGTTCCTAATGTGGAGTCCATGGCCTCCTCCAGAGTCGGAGAAGTCCCTGAATTGTACAATCGATTTGTGTGTATTTGGGCATCTGGGCATTTTTCCAGAGAAAGGATCCAGAAATTTAATCAATTTTCAGAAGTTAAGAGTCTAGAACTAAGGAGCTGGGTGGCCTCAGGCAAATCACTTAACTTCTCTGAGCTTCAATTAGTCATCTGTGAAGATCTCATAAAGAAAAAGTGACGATTAAGTGAGATAAGTACCTAGTACACGGTGGGTGCCCAGTAAGCACTGATTCTTTTTCTCTGTATATCCTTTAAGCTCATTTATTCTACTGTTTACTGAGTGCCTTCTAAGGGGCAGGCACTTCTAGAGATGGGATAGAGTAGCGTATGTTTACTGCTTTGTCTGCCTTTTAATCTAAAACAACCCATTACAATGTGGGTAAATGAAGGAAGAGAGAAGGTGGTGCCTGAGGTTTACAGGAATCCGCTCCCCAACCCTTCACCAGCCTCAGGGCCTCTTTTAAAATACAACCACGCCCCGGGGGCAACTCTAGTCCATGAGCCTGGTCCCTAACTTCTGGCAAGGCGAACTCTGCAGTTCAGAAGGGATGGAAGGAAAGGCCACTGCGGTGAGGGATGGGAGCTGTCAGGCTGTCAGCAACCACCGGGAATGGAAGGCCAGGCCAGGCCACTGGTGAATGAGGGGGCCGGGCCTGAAGGTGGAAGACAGTTTCAAAACCCACCCTCTACCCACTCTGTGATTCGGGGGTGACCCAGTGGCCCCAGCGCGGCTGTGGGGGCTCACCTGGACAGGCACGTTGTACTTCTTACGCTTCTGGAAGATGCCCACCGGGTAGACCTCACGCACATAGAGGATTAGGTGCACGGCCACCTCCAGGAACTCGCAGAGCACGTCGGCCACCACTGCGAGGGGGCAGAACGCGGTGCGCTCGGGGAAGCCCGCCGGCCCTGCCCTCCCTCGCCCCCCCCGACCCGGGGCCGCAGGTCCAGCCTCCCTACCTTGGCCAAAGTTGAGGTCCTGTCGCGTGAGCGTGGTCATCGTTCCCGCCACCTAGGGGGTGGGGCAGAAGTGGGGCTAGTTCCAAGGCGCAGGCAGCCGCAGGGCCCGCCCGCCTCCACCGCCCCTCCCCTCCGTCCGGGGGGAATCGGGGCAGGACACCCCCCTTCACACAGAATCAGGGCAGCTGGGAACGACCCCCACCCCCACGCTGGCGTCTTAGCTCGGGGGCATCAGCTGCGCCTCGATCAGCCTCTGTCCACTGGCCGCCTCGCCCCGCTGTCTCGGGGGTAGGGAAGGCCTGAGCTGTGCCCGCGAAAAGGGCACGGCTGCGGACGCAGAGAACCCGCGGGATGCGCAGGGCTGGGAGCGGAAAGCGGGACACCCGGAAAACGAAACTAGTCTGGAATAAGACTCCAGCCCCTGCCCGGCTGGATCCCTCCCCGGAGGGACCCCGCCCCTCTCCCCTTCCCGGTACCGGCTC